TTTTATTCAAGAAAAAATCATCTAATAACTTTATATAATCAATAACGTAGGTTAGTTCTAATTTCAAAATAATGTTATTTCTAATTTTCTAAATTATCTCAAAACTTAACTTGGCCAGTAAATATACAGCTATATGTATTTATTTCAATTTTTATATTACAAAAGCACTATAATCCTGTCCGGCTTCTTGAAAACATAAAGACTACATGGCATAAATAATTAATAAACCCTTAACTGGCGAACGGGGTCCCATAATAACTGTTTTGAATTAATTTGTTCTAATTAATATTAAAGGTCCACTAAATAATGTCCAAGTTTTTAAACCTTTTACAGGCTTACTGGTTATTGTTCTAGAAAAAAAAAGAGAAGTAAAAAAAATATTATAAAATTAAATTAGTGGTCTCTTTCCATCTATTTTTTTTTTGCATTGATGCAATTACTACCATTTCTGTTTCTTTACTACATTTTTATTAATTTACTGTTGTAATATGAACAAAATCTCAATAATATGACACTATTCATATTTGCCTTTTCAATAGGTACATTGACTAAATCAGTTTAAGTATCAGTTTTATACCACAACCTACATCATAATATATAGGTAGGTAGTAGCTAAGTATATAATTATATTAAATCCCATAACTAAAAATTAAGTATCTATTACCTACTTTTACATATTTGTCCAATTCTAAATTAACATATGAAGGTCACATATAAGGCATATTCTTTGATGCTCATATATAGCCTGTCAATCAGGTAGGCTTCCAAATTTTACCATTCTAATTCAATTTATAATTCTATTTATAATGGCAAACAGTCGAGAGTTGTAAAACACGTAAATACAAAGCAGTTTGTTTTGAAAAAAAACGCGGAAGAAAAAACTTTCTATCACATATGGAAGGAATCAATCAGCAATACGTGCCCGATCGTGTCTATCAGAGATGGCACACATCGATCCCAGCGATTGCTTTGTGCCACAGGAAATTAGTTTCCAACTTGTGAACGAGTTCCCAAGTACAATAGACTTATACATCTAACAGATTCGGAAATACTGTGTCCTCAACTTAAATGTACGTGTCCTCGTATAAATTATCTGTGGTCCACTATAAATGCTACGGTGTAACCGTACCGTTCAAAATAAAAGTATTCTTCTATATTTATGTATATCCAAATCTATGTATTTCCTTCAGCTTCCTCCTCATAACATGTCCAGGCAGAAAACTTCATAATTAGGTACTACTGGCTTTGGAATAAAATAGGATTTCAAATTAGTATTGAGAATTTTGAATTGAGAAGGGGCTAAAATAAAGGGGAAAAAAATACTTTAAGGGGCTAAAATAAGCGACGAAAGAGTTATTTATCTTTCTGCTACCAGATTTGCTAACAAGCTGGCGGTTCATCTGATGAAAGCGGTAACTATCGCCTGTAAACAAAAAGTGCGCAACGAGAGAGGTGATTTATCAGACCGTCCAAACTACTGAACCGATTCTGAAAAATCTTTCATTAATAGAGTATGTAACTCTTTCTAACGAAATCAAAATATTAATTATACCTATATATACATACTACATATATATATATATATATATATACAGTAATAATTATATATTTATGCAGCAGACTCTTATTAATTGCATAACCTATTTTCATAGAAAGTTAAACGTTAAGTTTGTTAAAAAAAACAATAAAATATTATTATCATTATTATGTGATCAACACAAAATAAACCTTATCGATAGTATAAATATCCATCGATATATTATATATAATAATAACGTTCATCATAAAAATAATTTGTATACATCGAACAACATAAAATATGCAATGAAATTAAAATCTTATGCAGTCGGTTGAAATCCGGAATGGATATAAATTGAAGTTTATTTTGTTATCGTTATAAACAATTTATGTCAGTAGATAACATAATAACATCACTTTATGAAACTACAACGTAGGTACATGAAATGAAAACAAATGCTATAAACATGAGGCTGTCCGCGGATGACTGTTGCAATGCAGTGACAGCCTAAGTATGGATTGCACCTGGTACCACCTAGTACCACTCTAACCAAACATTCACTCCATCGTATTCAAACTTCCTTCTTTAAGAAAAATAATATTTTTCAGTTTTGTTACGCTGGTAACATTTACGGCCCAAAGCAATAAATAAAGAAAACTTTGTGTAATAAACAGTTAATAGTTACGACACAGATATTTACGAACCCCAAGAAAAATTACACCTACTTTTCTACTTTTAGACAACATTCAGAAAAATTCATCGAGTATTCATAACATGAAATATTTAGTCAATGTATCTTACCTTTAAAAAATATAGTACCGAAACACAAATATGCTATCAATTCTAAGTAAGCTATATCACTTCATGAATCTAAAGCGAACTAATTCGATAGAGAATTAAGGAACGAAGAATTAAGGAACTATAAAAACAGGAAACAAAGAGCCTAACGAACGTATAAGCTAAAATGACAATGGACTGATGCTCTCTCACGTAGAACTGGATAACCAGTGAAGTATATGTGGAAACGCCCTGCAGCTAGATGAAGTGAGTAGTACAAAGGATGATGTGTAACGACTACTAATAGTGTTCATAGCACAAGAAATGAAATTGTGGTCAAACATACGTTGAGAGATTATTTGCAACAATGGACAACAGTGGGTTCATGAATATAATGATTTGCAACTGTTTTGTTTGAGTTATTTTAAGGTAAAATAAGTATCTACTATAAATTCTTTGTGTTCAGTATTTCGTACATGACTTTATGCTCAGTTGTACTGGATAGTTCAATAAACGTTTTCAAGAAAGTGAAAAACAATGTTCTTTATATACATTTTTGCTACACGAGTGTCGTCATATTAAGAAAGATAATTAAAAATATTCCATATATATTTAACTTGTGATATTTTTGACAATGTATTATACAACCTGCTATTAAAAAGTATACTAAAAGGAAACTGGCGTATATCCAATATTTATGGGTCAATAAACTTTAGTACTTTCGTACTATGTATATGTATTTGTTGCTGTGTTGATAAAGACACTAGATAAATAGACAATACTTACTTACTGAGTAATAGACAATACTTCGACACAAACCAAAGTATTTACATTATACAAAAATAAGTGTATATCACAATGTAATTTTTGTAACTAAATACGTAAAACATTTTGTTTGGTATAGCAACTAGCCACACGATTTTGATTGCCCTAAAATAATAACACACTGGCGGAAAACTTTTGCCAACTTCGCTTACTGTTACCAATAATGATTGATCAGCTTTATAAGAAAATTTGGCCTCGTTCACAAATTTATTCAATATATTTTAGGATAGAATTAGTATAACAATATAAGTCGACTTGTACAAAGTATTCTTACCTGGTTTACAATAACAATAACACATACATAAACAAATTTACAATATTTACGTACAAACAACAGATTTGACAAACGTTTTTTTGCCATATTGAACACTGCCTATATTTAAAATATTGCACATCCAACTGCATTATCTGACAGTATTCAAATCCACATCTCTAAGCTTATTTCTTTTACCAAAATTCACTCAACTACACTTTAACATACAAAACTCGATTATTTGTGAAATACTAATAATTTCCAAAACCTAATATTTTAATATGAATATAAAACACGATATGTAATGCATATTGTAGAAAATATGGTAGAGTATGGCAAAACTTTTCAATTTTTTTTCTTTTCTCCTTCTGCTGCTGTAAGCAAGAAGACGGGACTCAAGCTAACAATTCAACAAAGTGAAAATTGCATGAACAAGTTCTGAACACTAGTTCACCTAGAACTAAAGTAACTAGTTCTACATCATATAAAAAGAGAGTATTATAATTTTATCACTGGTTGTGCACTAATGCAGTATTATTATTATTTTTTTATTTGATGTTTTTTGTACATTATAATTTAGAATCATAGTTTAATAAAGACTAGTACAAAATTATTGTGTTTTGGTAGTCTATGTCAGTTTCTTTGAACGAATATATATAAAAAAACATAGTATTGTAGACTAAACAATTTTCAGGTAAAGCTACAGCTAAAGTATTGGGTTATAAATCACGTGCAATACACCCTTACCTAATTGATAACTAAAAACAAGTGCCTAATATAGGCGACCCAAGGAGATATTTATTCGGAACGATTAATAGGCGCCATTAATCACGGTAGATACCTACCACGAGGTGCTAGCGGCATTTCCCCACGCATTTTTCTAGATTTAAACAGAAAAGAAGGTCAAAAGGTTAAATGCAAAGTGATAAAAATTTGCAGGAAAGCTAATGATCACAGACACGAAATATACTAATCGGTACCATTAAATAGTTAATTTGTCTTTAAATACAACGTTATAGGGATATCATTTTCGAGATTAGTTAAGTTTAATGTTTTCAGTTTTGTAAATTATACTTTTAATAAATTAGTAAGTTTATAGGTAACATTTACTATTGGCAACAAAGTTGTAATTTGCAAGTTTGAAATAATATGGAAAACTTTAATTTGCTAACAATAATATTTAAGTTTATTATTCCATTCATAACTTAGATACTAATATAGTAGTACAGTAAGTTTAGAATCCATGCGATGCATATTCAGAACGAATCCAAAGAAGACTACTGAGCAGTTACCCTCTTGCCACACTTTCAAGATGAGTTATTATAATATTCTGTCTTTTAAATATATAAAATATTAAAGTGCTCAAACCCAATAATGCATACCTTACATATAATCCATTTTTTATGTGTGAAAAATGTTTTACTACAATTATATTGAAGCTAAAGCTACAAAATAAAATACCACTTAAAAGCAGTAAATACATTACATTACATTAAAATAATAAAATATATTTGCCACACTAATAATAATCTTATAGTGACACGAAAAATAACAGTGAAACGTAATTAAATGCCACAAAACGTAAATGACATACATACGTTCTCTACAACATATTGGCATGCTTACTTAGGTGGCATATCGTTGTAGGACTACACCCTGGAAATTTCCTGCAATAAAAGAAAATTGTGAATAAATATATGTAACATTTACTTTTTTAGTATCTAGAAAATAAATACGATATTTAAATCATTGTCTAATTTTTACATATTAGAGATATTAGATATTTATATAACTAGAATGACAAGCAAACTGACGGCCCACTTTGTAATTTTAACTCTCCGGAAAGGTAAGGCATGAAGGATATATAAGGTGTACCACAAGACAAGGCCACCATCGTATATGTACATGCAAAGCGCCTCTGACATCACATCAATTTGTGACACCCGTTATATACTTCATGCATGCCATTCGGGAGGCCTAAGATGTTATGAATCGTGTAATATCACTGTAATATATGGCTCTCTAACCGAAACACGTAAAGAAACTGTTTTGCGACTAGGTGAAATGGGTGAATAGAATAGAATTGCTGCAATTATATAACGTATTTCTATAACCTAACATTAAGACAACAAAGAAGAAGTTCTCAGTTCGGAAGTATTTAAGAATAATCATACAATATGCTTCGTTACTTACTGATAATAAGAAAAAATCCTCTTGTTCTGAATTACTCTCTAAAACTTTCACCTGGTAACCCCGTCTAAATTTATCGATCTACATGCCACTACTCGCAATACAGAGCCACCAATTCTCCTCAAACCGATCTCATTATTCATTCAACGAGAGAAACCCGTCTGTATCTGATTTCTGTCGTCTAGTGTTTTACGATACGCGAAGATAACAAGGTACAATTGAGCTCCATTTACTCGCTCCATTACTACGTAAACGTCTGAATCTATTCGATTACAAAATATTGATTAATCTTCTATTATTTGCCTTGTCGCCTCCAAATTCTTATGTACTAAACACATTTTTATACAACTACTAGCCAAAGAGAGGATACGATGTATTACGACAAACAGAAAAGATTTTTATGGTATTTTGTCAATCAGCGCTGTTTACTGCATTTGTTAGACACTGTTGGTAGATACATATACTGTGAAATACATACTATTTGTTCACCTACATTTTAGTCATTATAAAACCATTTATAAACAAGACTAAGAAAAATATAATACGACATATACAAAAACGAATGTACCTAAAAAATAATCATAATCAGTAAAAAATTTATACACTAAAATATTTTACTATAATCTATAATATATTAATTTTAGAAATATATAATACAATAATACAATAGTAGGACATTTTAGCTGCTTAAAAACGTCAAGTTTTTACATTATATTTTTTTCCCTACCGTCCAGTTCGGTCTATAGATCCAGTTGAGAAGAACTGGCAAGAAACTCAATTACAGTACAGTCTAATATTACAAAGAAGCGGACAGTGTGGCCATGGTTTATAGTAATTATTTGCAGTTCTAGAAAACAAGAACCAAACTTTTTTAATAATGACTACGTACATGGTCTTTTCGACAAAATCTTGTGATGTGACCAATAATACTCACAAAAATATAATAATTTTTGAAACAAAAATTTGTTTAAACAGTTTGAAAGATGAGACATGGCACCAGTGAAATTACTAGAACCAGAAACATAACCCACCTTTCTTGCTACACGGATGGTTTTATGAGATATAAAATGAATATACCAATGTACTCCTTATATTAAATTTACATAAAGCTTAAAATAATTAGGTACTCTGTAATACACTTAATATTAAAATAATATGACGTAGCTACTCTAAACTACTTATTCCATTTCGCTCATCCACAAAGGCTGCCTTGGACCGAAATAACATTAGTAGTGCAGAAGAAATGCAAGGTCAAGCTTTCATATAGTGCTCCATCCTAGAATGATATAGTATAAAATGAGAGTTAGCGTTGTATTTATAACTATATAGTTATCTATATACTCATAACGCTATATTCTAATATATAAAATTCTCGTGTTTTCGTGTTTATACTCCTCCGAAAAAGGTTGACTGATTTTGATGAAATTTTATGCGTATATTCTGTAGGAATCTTGTCTGAGAATAGGCTTATAACTAATTTATACTCCTCAGTGTTGAGGGTGGCTCACCCCATTATTTTTTATTTTTTTATTATGTGGCATTAAAAATACATACAACTCTAAATTTTCTCCCTACTACACCTATTTTTTAATAGCGATTTTAATTTATATGGTAAAACAACATTAGAGGGGTCAGCTAGTTGTTTATAAATATTAAACTTATAAACACAATATTTCTCGTATTAATTTATCATTTCCTTTTATTTTATTACTTAAAACAGAGCATGTGTTATTTTTATTGATTATTAACTGCTACATTACTGATCAATTGCATTAAGACTCCAGCATCATACAAAACACAAATGAATAGTGTATCTGTATTACATAACAACAAACATACCTATTCACTAATATGGTTTCAGGATGTATGTATGTACACGAAGGATATCGATTTATATAACCTTAATATATAGGTACTAATCTGGCCAAAATTTAGTTATTCTGATCATTCCTCTAATTAATGTCCCTTTTATATACATATATATGTTATTGAAAGATATTTAATACACAGTTACAATAGTAGAAAATGTATTATGGGTACCAATCCACCGTTTGACACTTCCAATATTAAATAAATTAATATTTCAATACTTTAAAACTACATGATATTGTAATCGTATTATAGAAAGTCCTCAGACCAATACAAACATATTTATTGATGCAAATATATATACCTACATAAGAAAATGACATTACGAAACTGTTATGTCCTTTGTTCGAAGTTGCATAGAATCTGAAAAGGTCAGACGGAACAAAGACCATTCCGTACAGTATACGATTAAAACAGTTCCTTAATAAGCAAATATTGCATAAATTTGTACCTGCTAACAAATGTAATACCTATATTTGCTAGAAGTTGTAAATTATAACTTCTAATTAATAATAAAAACTATTATTTTATGTACTTATAGTTAGACAGTTCGTTTTTGTCATGTTCATCAAACACAAGTTGGTCTTCAGCCGCTCCTTCTGTCCTTATGCGGGTATGGAGTGCCCTTTGCACACGCTTTTGCTTTTTGTTCGGTGAAGCTGTAAAGGCCAGTAACCTTCGACTTCAAAATCGTTTGAATAATTAAAAAATATTAAATCTCACAATAGCTCAATATCGAGTAGAAACCTTGGATATACTCGTCATTTTGTAGCAAAGTATAAAAAATGGCCGAGGAATACATAAAATGTTAGCAGGAAATAAAGGAAGGAAACAGATCGTGTAGAATTTTGGGTCTACAGGTATGCCATTAAATTTTACAAGCTCATAAAGCTCTTTCATTAGACGCAATTTTTAATGATACAAAACAGATACAGCGTAATAAATAGATTTTTAACAGTTTAAATAGTTCAAAGCATATGTATATAAGATAAGATATCTATATATAAGTGTCTACTTATTTTAAGAATCACCGCTACACGCATCACCTCAATACGGCTGCAAACATACGGCAATTGTTTTTTATTTCGCTTTTGTAACTTTAGAGGTAATGTTTGTATGATAGAAAATACTGGAAACAGTATGGTTTTATTCATTTTTTAAACTAACAAGAATGCAATAAACATATATTATTAAAATTATCATTCAACTATTTAATGGTTTTTTTTTATTTTGTTACATAAATGTGTAATTATATATTTTTAATTAATATACGCGAACAAAGGCCGATCGACTCAATCATCAGTCGATGTATAAAATACTAACTAATAGCCACAACTACGTTTTTTTTATATGATACGTGCTTCTTTCTCGGCACTATCTATATTTATGTCAAATTTCTTAACGAACGAGATTTAGTAGAAAAAAAAAACAAACACACTTTCACATATATTATATTAGTATAGAGAACATACATCAGATAATGTTGATTATAATTTCACAAATGGTGTCACCAAGCTGACTGGTGAGCATACAAGAATGATAATTTAATTTCACGACGTGCACATCGTTTCCTCGTGTCTTTCAAAAGCCTCGTTTAGCAAGGGGTTACGCATTCATAAATTCTATTTAGGAACGCGCTCACATACAAGATTGTTTACATAGGCGTTAATTTAAGATACAATGTTCGTTCTTGTTACCATATCATCACCACGTTATAACATATTCAAAATCTCGAGGCATCCACCTCCGTTTCGACAGAGCAACGATCTTATCACGGGGGTTTAATATCTAAAGTTCAAGCTAAAGGCCTCTTATGCTTCATTACCTCTAGTTATACGTAAGAAAGGGTCCAAAGGGTCTACCTTACTTTAAATAATTATCTGCAGAATTACTTACACAACTTGGCAATGTATTAAGTAACATATATGAAATATCATTATTGATATTTGTCATTAATATATTGAATAGGTATAATTCCTACCTATAGAGGAACATTTCTATAAAGTTAAGGATTAAAAAATTTAAAGCATATTATTATATTTATAGTGGTAATATCCATATTAGGTGCATATATGTGTGGTAAAATTGAACTAATAATATAATTTTAGTCTCCCTGTAGCGTTCCATTTACATATACATATACATATATCCGATAATTTACAATTTTCTATAAAAGGTATAAAGTCTCGTATAAAATTATATACATACTACACTATAATACTACAGTTGTAGTTAACTTTTAAACATGTTATTTACACAAAATTATTGTAGTTGTAATTGTTCCAATTTCAATAATTAAATTATACTCGTCTATGTGAATTCTATTTTCAACTGACATTAAAAATAAAATGCTTCTTAATTTTTTATATATAACTAGCTGTTACCCATGACCACATCATGTTCGTGATATCTTCATATTAATCAAATTTCCTTCATATTACAGATCCGTTTAGGCGTTTAGCCATAAAAAGACATCAAATAAACAGATAGACACACTTCGATGAATAATATACCTTTTATAATAACTAGATACTTTGCGACTATTTCACAAGAAATGACTACTCAAATTTATAAGTTTAAGTGTTAGAAGCCTAATACATCAATAACT